GCCCCAGGGACCCACACGAGTTGGCCGGCTGCGCAGACCGGGGCTCAGGGCCTCGAAGGGCGAAAACTCAGGCATCACACAGGGGCAGGGGCAGGGCTGTCCGGGACCCCGGGGACCCACGCGCTCGACGGCCGGGAAGCCAAGGTCTGGGTCCTTCCCAGGCGGATGCTGGGACGAGTGAGCACACAGCGGGGGGCACTGCGGTTAGATGGGGGGACTCCCAGCTGGGTCACTGGGGCCACGCGGATGGCTCCGAGGGTGGTGCTGGCTTCGCTCTGCCCTTTCTCTCTCTCTCTCCCTCCCTCTTAAAAAATATATTTTTATTTATTTCAGAGAGGAAGGGAGAGGGAGAGTAGAGAAACATCAATGATGAGAATCATTGATCAGCTGCCTCCTGCACTTCCCACACTGGGGATCGAGCCCACAACCCAGACGTGTGCCCTGACCAGGAATCAAACCGTGACCTCCGGGTTCACAGGTCAACACTCAACCCCTGAGCCACGCCGGCCGGGCAGCTTGCACTGTGCAGGAAGGTGGGCGGAGGCCTGGTGGTCTCCTGTCCCATAGCTCTGCCAGCGACGAGTGGGGGCGAGGGGATTTTTAAAAACTATTTATTTTTATTATTTTTTTAGGGGGCGAGGGGATTTTTAAAAACTATTTTTATTTATTTGGGGGGGGGGTGAGGGGATTTTGATATCAGACTGAGCTGGTTTATGGTTCCCGAGGGTCCCTGGTTCCCTGGAAGGTCCTTCCGCTCAAGGCCACCCCTGATGGTGAAGGTCAGACCCAGTGTCACTCTGGGCTGTTCTCACAGCTGTCCTCCCTGGCACATTCTTGTTTAGCCACTTCCTCCAGGAAGGCCTCCAGAGAGCCCTGGCTCTGAAGCTTCCCCACTCCAGAGCTTCTTGTACACCTTGGGCAATGGCTTTGCCTCACAGGGCAGCTTTGGCTTTGGCTTGGCCCTTCCTGCCAGCATGGGCCTTGTGTGCCTTTCATGAACCTGGGGCTCCGCTCAGCCACCTCACAGCCCGTGCTGCTCTGGGCCTCTGCTTTCTCATCTGTTGAGATGAGTCTGGGGCCATCTGCCCTCCCTGGGGTGGAGCATGCAGGCCTCTGCCATCACTGGGGGCCTGGGACACGCCCCCTTGCTGTGCCCTGAGCTCAGGGGAAGGTGGCGATGCTGTGGGAGGGTGAGGCGACCCTCCTTGGGGAGGGGGAGGGGCCCGGCTGTGCCCAGCCCGCGCTCAATGAAATCGAGGGGCCAGCCCCACACCATGGCAGTGTTAGCTGAGCCGATGTCCAGGAGGCTGGGGGGCGGCCGGCTGCTCTGCACCCTGGGGCTCTCTGGCCGGGTGAGACCTTGGCCCTGGGCAGCTGGTGTCACGGCCCACACCCACTCGGGAGGTGGCCAGCCGGCTTGGCCTGATTTTCCTGTCTGGGGCTGGACGCTGACCAAGCCTGTCACAGGATAGACCTGCCGGCCCAGATCCGGGCAGCCGGGGCCTCTGACCACTGTTTACTCTGAGCAGGTGGCCAGGCCCTGGCAGGTCCCAGGGGCTGGGGGGGGCGTGAGAAGCTGCCAGCCAGTCCCAGACCTGAGTGCTCTGGTCCCAACACTTGCCTGCCTTTCCCCCATTGACCTACTGCCCAGGCCCTCGACGCCGGCACTGCACCTCCTTCCAGACCAGCGGGCCGTCGGGGGACATCTCCTCTCCCACGAGGGACAGGCCCCCCTTTCCCTGCCCCAGCCCCTTCCATAGCTGAGCTGCGCCCTGAGCCGGAAGAGACAAGGCGGGGGCCACGGTGCACGTGGGCGATGCCCCGACACCCTGCCTCCCCAGGCCCGCACGCCGGGTGCTCTGCTCTCCCCGGGCCTCCCCTGCTGGCGCCAGGCAGGGGCAGGACGCGTCGCTGAGCGTTTGTCCCGGCCACGCAAAGGCCATCGGCTCAGCTACCACCATCAGGGCGTGTGGCCGGGGCGACTGGACCAGGACTCAATGTCGGCCAGGGGCTCAGTGCTCAGGCCTCCGTCATACCCGGGGGAACGGGAACAGAGGGAAGGGGCAGTTGCTGGACCCTGGGCTCCTGGCCTCCCAGCACTCCCTGCATGCCGGAAGCCGGTCCATCCTTGCTGCTTGACACAGTCGCTGCAGGAAAGAAACATCTGCACAGCATATGTTTCAAGGGACCTGGCATATATAGCATATTGTTCTTAATATGTTTGCTCTCCTTAGCGCCATGTGTTTTAACCAAGGTCACCTCTCCGAGAAAGGTTGTTTCCCAGGTGGGGATTTTTCCCTGAGGTTAGGGAGGGGATACAACCCCTTAACTAAGTGCCAGGCGGGTAGTTAATCACTTTAACTACAAACAATCACGCTTAAGCTACATAATCTTTACTCCCTGGAATGGAGATAAGAAATGCCCTAACCTTTGCAATAGAAATTGACAGGATTAAAATCGACTGGTATAAATACAGATGTAACAAGACAATAAAGATCAGATCCCGACCAGAACTTTGGCAGGAGATCCTGGCTAGAGGTCCTGACTAGGCTGCTGATCAACTGAAGGCTGTCTCCGTGTCATTCCTTCTTCACCGACTCCGTCCACACCTTTGGGGACCCCTGGACCTGCTGGGGCTGGACCCCAGCACCTGCAGCACAGGGAAAGCCTGGAGGACAGCCCGGCCTGGACACCCACCAGCCTGGGGACCCCAAGCCACTCCTCCCTCCCTCTGGGCTTCAAGGGGGCGGGGACCTGGTCCTCCCAGCACTCCTTCTGGGGTCCCTCAGGCGGTGGGTGAGCAGGGGAGGATCGCCTCTTGGTGGTCAGGACGCCCACTCCTCACCTGGGCCAGGGCACTGGCCCCAGAGCCCGGGGTCAGAACCCTGACCCACCAGTCACTGTGCCTGTGATGTGACCTTGGGCAAACCACAGGCGATGGGAACCCCCAGGTGAGGCAGGCCAGCCTGTCAGAGCAGGGGCTCAGGAGGCTCCTATCACCTGCTCCTCTCGAAGGTGGTCACGGCCCAGCTGGTGTGCTCAGTGGTGGCTTCGACCCCTACACCAGGAGGTCCCCGGTGGATGCAGTCAGCGCACAGGCCGGGTTGTGGGCTTGCTCCCCAGTGTGGGGCGTGCAGGAGGCAGCCGATCCATGGTTCACTCTCATCGATGTTCCTCTCCCTCTCCTTTCCATTTGGGGAGATTA